CCACCGATTTCTTCCCTCAATCTCCTCCTCCCGATCTCTCTCTTTCAACACTGGTCATCAACTCAGATCGATCCTCACTATCGCCTATCGCCTATCGCCGGCATAGATCCACCGCTGCAGTGGAGATCTGGAAGACCATCCGTCGCCGCCGTCTTGGATCTCCTCTTCCGCCGCCGCCGCTCCGACACCTTTGGTTGGATCACAGACTATAGATCTGCTCCGCATATCAAATTTGCTCTGTTGTCTTCGATCTTTATCTCCACCGACTAGATTTGCTTCGCCAACCAAATCTACTGCCAAAGGATCTGAGGACATGTGTATACTTATCATCAGATCAAAAAAAGGTTGTTTCCTTTTTCCAGATCTCCTTTTCAATTTCCAGTGCTACAATTTCAATTTGATCAATTTATATGCAGTATATATCCATATATATATACACGAGCAATGCTATAGACCACTAATTTACCATCACTAATACCACCACTAGTGAGGTGGCAATTGAAAAAAAAAGAAAAAAAAAAAAACAAGGCACAAAACACAGACCCACTGCCACATCATTAGAGCCACCACTAATTAGTGGTCTAAAGCATTTTTGATATATACACACACATCACTAGCTAAACCCCAATTGCATGGTCATTCAACCGCCTCTCTTCTTTTACTTTGCCCTAGCTTACATTTTAGTTGATGATTTTGCTTCGAACTTTGTTGTGTACTGAGGTTGATTATGAGAAGAGAGACGGAGAAGGTGGGGAGAGAGTGGACGGAGAAGATAGGAAGATTTAGTTGAGGGTATAATAGTCTGATAAAATATTTAAATAATAAATTTTATCCTTTATACAAGACTTTACAATTATGAAGGGTTTTGAAAGTATAATTTTTTTTCTTGATCCTTTTAACAATAAAATGAAGGTAAGAGAGATTTATGGCTAAATTTCCCTTAATGGAATCCAACACTAGTATCCGTTTATTGTTTAGGTAGTGTGTGTATCATTTATGTACTGAAAAATTAGATTGTGGCTCTTTGCATCTAACATAGGTCCGTTTCAATAATCAAATCTATTCATATTTACATCGCTGTGTGTAGATTATCTGTACAAAATCAAATATGATTTTATTATCTTGGTGTTCAAAAAAAATAAGCAGTCTGCTTCTAAAACATTGTTAATTGCTTCAACACAAAGATGATAAATTCATGTGGCTAAATTTATTGAATCAATTCGATTTTTTTTCCTATAAATACTCGGGTTAAAAAATAAAATGGGGAACTGACCCAAAGGTCCAAGCTCAACATATCATACCCCATTTAGGCTCAAAACAAATTTAATACTCCATTAAGTCCTTAAATTATCAATAAGATGAAAATACCCACAATATATCATCCAATTTACACGCGTGCAACCATCACCTACGATCATCTCAGTCTGATCAGTACACTGTCACATCTCCGCCACTCGAAATCGGATTCTCAGTCACTCCATTCCCTCTGAAACCCTACCCTAACCACAAAACGAAACCGTTCATCTTCATCACCCATGATCATCTCAGTCTGATTAGTACACTGTTACATCTCCGCCGCTCGAAATCGCATTCTTACTCCTCCATCTCTCCTCCGTTCGACTCCATTCCCGCTGAAACCCTTCCCTAACCACAAAACAAAACCATTCATCTTCAACACAACACCAAGCCGTTCATTTTCTCCAATCGGCGACTCTCAACAACACGAAGAACCATCACCACTCTGAAGAAATTTCATAGTTCTAACTTCCGATTCACAGAAATGGGAAAAAAAAGTAACATCTCTCTTCACCTATTCATTATTTTTTATTCAAATTTATACATTATTCTTTCATATTTCCTATATATACATTTTACATACTTCAAAATGTATAAACCCTCTTTCATATATCATCCCCTATTTTACAACATTCTAGTCCCCTGCTTTTAAACATTATAATCCACTGTTTTTACACATAAATCCCTGTTTTTACACATTCAACACCTTATTCTTATTCTTGTTGTTCAATATTGCCTTTTCTTATTGTTGTTATTTTTGAATACTTAATATTCTTGTTGTTATTGTTGCTGTTTACAAAATACAATGGGCTGTTCCTATTGTTGACACTGTTTATAAAAACTACAACATCATACAGTTTCATTTCATCACTCTACAAGTAACATATCTAAATTTATTCAAATTGCAAATGAAACTGCAAAATTACACAGTTTAATCACTACTCAAAACAAATAGGTAACTTACTATAAAGTGCAAATCAAACTGTCAAATTATACAGTTTCGTAACTGTTACCAACAAATACATATAACTTCATATGAAACTGCATATAAAACTTCAAAATTATACGGTTCTGTCACTATATTACTCATACCCTGCTGTCGCTTTCATTTTTTCAAAAATAACTGTTGGAAGATATTGAAAGAAACAAACTCATATGCCCAAAAATCCAATCAGGGATTTAAGTATCTCCCATTTTGAAAGTCCGTCTCCTGTATCCACTGAAATGGCGCCAACATCTCCCCCTCCACAAAAAATCCAACCACCACAACCAAACACCACTGACCCCACCAAAAAACCCACAAAATAACCACACTACCTACAAGAAAAAGCCCAAGACTACACCACAGACCCCACATACACAACAAACACCAACCACACCTCCAACCACAACAAAAAAAAAACAAAAGAAAGCCAACAAAAAAACAAGAAGCTCCTCCAACCAAAAAAAGAAAGCTCCAAGAAAACCAATCAACTCCCATAACAAAAACCAAGGCATCAAAAGGAAAAAAAACAGCAGTCCCTGCAAAGAGAGTCCAACAATTTAATTACCGTTCTAACATCGGAACAGTAATCAAACTGTTGAAGGGGGTCAAATTCACAAAACCCAACAGATAGAGCTGCAAAAAATCCCTTTTTGGCCCATTATAAATGCTCTCTCCTCAACACAACTGAAGGCCTCTTGGTGCAGATGCTACAATTTCATTGTAGCAGAAATGACAACACTCTACAACAAAAAAAAAGAGCATTTATATTTGGCAAAAAGGAAATGAAACTCAGAAACAGTGATGTCAAGCTCATTTTTGGTATCGACTGTGGAGAAGACAGCATCACCACCAAATCCTATGCAAGACCAAAGGATTTTGAGCTTCCATTTTACAAACGAAGATGCAAATCAGTAAAGAGATTGGATGGCAAGTCTTTGACCAAAATGTTTCAACAAACAAAAAAAGGAAAATCAACCAATGATCGTCAAGATCTTACAAGGGTCATCGCCTTTTACTTGTGCTTGAAACTTCTCATGCCTACAACAGGCCATACACTCACTTGGAGTTTCCTCAACTATGTTGACAATCTCAACAACATCAAGAATTACAATTAGGTTGAGGCAATAAAAGACACACTGATGAATTCAATGGCAAATGCAAATAACAACCCAAGGCATGTCATTGGATGCGTCATGTTACTCTTTGTAAACACATTACTTAACTAGTTCACACAAAAATATCAGACATCCACCTATTTCTAACTATCTAACATATTTCAATTTTTTTTTACAGTACTGGTACTGTGAGCACAGTAAACTCCTCCGACCATCCAACAAAGAAGGCTTCCCAAGGTTTATGAAATGGAACCTTGACAAAATATACTCCAAGTAGAAACACATCAGCCTTGCTCACTTTGAAAAGGTATTCAAACTCTTCTATACTATCATAGCACAAATCTATTCAACACTCATTTTACAGTAATTATAGTAAAAATCATGTTATGAAACTGTAAAATTTTTCAGTTTCAAACAACATATGTTCAACACTTGGCTCACATTATTCACAGTACAAATCATATTATGAAATAGTAAAATTTTACAATTTCAAAGCACACACTTATTTAACATCACTCATGTTATGAAACTGCAAAAGTTTACAGTTTAAATGCACAAATCTATTTCACATCACTCATATTATGAAACTGTAATATTTTTCAGTTTCAAGCAACATATTTCGACACTTAACCCACATTACTCACAGTACAACTCATTTTATGAAACTAACCAATTTTACAGTATTACTGATTTATGTCACATTGTTCCAATGCAGGTTAACCAAAGTGCTTTAACCCCAACTGAACAAGAAATACAATTATTGCATATCAATCAAAGCACATCAACAGATTCTTCAGCAAAGAAACATGACCACAAAAAGGACAATAAGCGAAAAAAGAAAACAAAAGCAACAAAAAAAAAAACTTCTAGACAGTGATGAGGATGACTTTCTCGAAGAAGAACATTAATCAGAATCAAAACCAGAATCAGAACAAGAAGAACAACAAAAAAAAAAGAAAAAAAAGAAAGCAAAAATCACAAGAAGAACCAGAAATTGATGAACAAGAAGAAGAGAGTGATGAAGAAAAAAAACAAATGACTGATGAAGAAGAAGCTGATGAAGAAGAAGAAGAAGAAGAAGAAGAACCTGATGAACAACAATACAATGATGAAGCAGAAGAAAGACAAGAAGCAAAAGGTGATCAACCAGAAGACACTGATGAAGAAGAAGACCAACAATAAGAACAAGAAGAGCAACAAACAAACCAACAATAACAAGTCAATGAACAAGAACTGATAAACCAACAAGAAGAACTCCAAGAGAAATCTGACATATTTCATGCACAAGGTAAACTATTGTCTAATACTAAAGAAAATTGCAAAATTTAATTAAACTAATCAAAACACAATCCAACATTTTTATAGGTCATGACCAACCACAAACACCAACCAAAGAGGACGACAAGGACAAGCTCATATCAGCCATGAGAGCACAAATGCAAGATATGGAACAAAAATTCATGGCTGAATTGCGTAAAAAAGAAGATCAATCGAAGAAAATGTCCACCAAAAAAATTGGCAGTCCCCAGCAAAGATCAATGGTCAAGAGAATCAAACAAAAGTCAAGAAAACAAGCACATGACCCAAATTTTGAATACTAACCAATGACAAAAGCTAAAGAAGATACAAGGAACAAGACACAAACTGCTGCTGATGTATCCAAATCAACAGAGGGTACCGATGAAGAAAAAGAAAAGAAGAATGAAAAGAAAAAAGAAGAAATCGAAACAGAGACAGAACCTGCTACTGAACCCGAGCAAAAAGAGGGTGCTCATGAAGCAAAACAACAGCAGAAAAAAAAGATGCAAGAAGATATTGGCCAAGAAAAAGCAGTTGTTGCTGAAACCAACCCAAAAGAGCATGCCAATCAAGAGAAGACACAACTTCAAGTATTGGAAAGTGACGATGATTTCAAGGAAGAATCAATCCAAAACAAGCCACTCGCCATTTATTGCTGCAAAACAAACAAGGTTTGGCATAGTTTATCCAAAAAAGACCAAGACCAAATTCAACTCATCAATAACACACAATCAAGTGCTTGTGTCTAGTCTGGCAGCAAAAATGAAAATTGCGTATACTTTTCAGATATATGCAGATTGACCAACAGGGAACCGTTATATGGAAATGTACGTCTCGAACTGCACAATTTTACACTTTCTGTTCATATTCAATAACCTATTCCACAAACCTAACACATTCTCATATATAACACGTTTCAGGTCATTGATGCCTTCTCAGAAAAGCAATTGGCACTCCAACCAACCATTGAAGAATTTGAGAAAAATGATCTAGCCTTTGCAAGAAATCCATACACAGAAAGATCTTACGTTTTCTCAACACTCATCAATGTAAGCAAAACTTAACATACCTTTCAACTGCAAAATTTTCTACTTTCTTAACAAGTCTTACTACATAGTTTTATAACATATTTCAAACATATATATAACTTACAGACTCCATTACAAAACCAAGATCAAGCACTGAGAGAAAAAATGATGGACAACCATTTTCCAGAAGATTTGAAAAACAGATATATCTATTTCCCAATCAACCACGACAACCATTGGACAATTGTGGTCTTTGACAATGCTGATGGGATATGGAGACACTATGACTCTTTGAGACCAGCAAAAGATTGTCACAACAAGCACTTTGAAATTGCAAAGGAAATTGTAAGTTAAATAAAATTTCCTACTTAGTTCCATTCCTTTAAAAACATCTCAACTCATCACTATAACTAATGAAAATATCCACTAACTATTTTGTTAGCAACAACATCAACTCAGATGGAATAAAGCATTACTCAGCAATCAGGGAAACATGTTTTCATCTCAAGAGTGCGAGACAGAAATTGCATCAATTGAGGAATGCCCACAACAAACCCCACACTCGTAAGATACAAAATCCATAAACTAATCTTCCAATATGCTAAATTTTGCAGTTTCACCTAACTAATTAACTTCATCTCAAACACTGCAAGAATGATAGTGCAATCGCTGTCTGCAATGTTATTAACCAATATGTCAACTGGCAACCTGTGCAGAAAAAACTTCGTCCAACTGAGTAGGTCAAATTTCGAGCACAAATCATCAATCAATTCCTCAATGATGAGAACCGATCTTGGAAACTCGAGCACTACCAAATGTTGACAAAACATACCAAACCATAGAAACAATCAACAAACTTCTTGACAATACAAATATTCAAGGGAACATATCTTTGAACCTTTTTTTATTTTTTTTTATTTTTCTTTTTTAACATGTGACAAGTACTTTATATACTTTTGGGAATGATCTTTTTCTGGTTATCATGGTTATGGTGAAAATGATTGATGTTGTTGTTGCTCTTCTTCTTATTATTATTATTATTGTGGTTCTTCTTTTGATTGTTTGTCTACCTGTTTGTGGTTGCATATATTTTCATACAGTAAAGGTTGATTCTAATAATTCTTCAAACTGCAAAATTTTTCAGTTTCATCAGCTTGTTTCTAATAATTTTTAAAACTGAAAAATTATGCGGTTTCATCAGGTTGTTTCTAAATAATTCTTAAAACTGCAAAATTATACAGTTTTATCACTATGAAATATGAACTGCCTTTCCATATTATACTGTTTCAATAAGAAATTTTCAACAACCTTCTCTACATTCCATAAAAATAAAAAACAAAACCAGACTATTCGAAAACAACTTCAATAAGTAAAAAACACATCAACAAACAAAAAACAATTCAACCAACTTTATTCATTACTTCCATAATACCAAGTATCACATTTTTTATTATCATAATTCCTCAAATTCAAATACAAATCCAAAAGAATAGATTGCGGCCTCAAATAGCAGCCTTGCACGTCTTCTTATTGTGATTCCCATATTTCAAGCACCTCCCACACTTGATTTGCTTCACATTCTCACCCCTTGAAGGTATCCTCTTCTTCTTGTTCCGCCCGGGCTGCTTCTTCGTTATAGGAGGTTTGATAACCGAACTACTGGCACCATCAAAGTCAAATCTCTCACTTGAAGGCACTGGATAAACAGATTCCTTGTATGACTCTCTAAAACAATCTACATGAAAAAAAGGATCAATGAAACCATACACATCTCTACCACTACTACGCAAAGCATGCACAGCATGACAACAAGGAAAACCATTCAATTGCCATTCATGGAAAGAACAAGTCTGTCTGCCAATATCAACATAAAAAGAAATAGAAGAATGAACCTCAAGCACAGTATCACTAGCAACAATCACATCCCAAGACTTAGCTAGCTCCAAAGAGTCCACCAACTTCTTTTCCATAACTGGACACAATTTCGTAGTCCATCTTCTAGATTCAGCTCTTCTATCCGACAATTGAGTCATGATTTGAACCCTAATCATATCAACCATACAAGTAACAGGCAACTCACGGGCCCCACCAATCCAATTATTATAAGACTCGGCAGCATTAGATGACATCTCACCATATCGTTTCCCTCTAAAAAATGCATTGGCCCACTTATCATTTTGCAAACCATCCAACATACTATCAACTCTACCATTCCCAGCAATACGCCTCAATTTCTCCATATAATGTTGGAAAGAAGCAACCGTTGGCGCATAAGCACATTTAACTAATATTTTCATCAAACACAGCTTATAGTTAGTACGAAGTCCCACCAATTTGTCAATCAAATTTCTCTTCAAATGATTCAAGCAATAAGCATGATGTGCATTGGGGAAAACCACTGAAAGAGCGTCTAGCAATCCATGTTGACGGTCCGACACAAAAGTCAATCTCCGGCCTGAACCAACAGCCTTCAACAACTGACTTAAGAACCACATCCAATTATCTTGATTTTCAGCGTCAACAATCGCAAAAGCCAAAGGAAACAAACCTGCAAACAAAACCACATGAAACTGCAAAAATTAGCAGACTCACAATACAATAACACACTGACAAACTAAACCAATACTAACTGCAAATAAATACATACCTTGATTACCATCCTTTGATGTTGCTGCAAGCAAATGCCCCTTGTAACGCCCCTTCAAAAATGTACCATCAACAAACAACAACGGACGACAAAATTGAAAGCCATACAAACATCCATGAAATGCCACAAACAACCTCCGAAAACACCCACTACTTTCATCCACATCTAATTCAAACACACTTCCCGGATTCATTCTCATAGCCGTCTCAAGGTACCATCGAAGCTGGTCAAAAGAAGTTGCAAAATCACCAAACAACCCACCTCTTGCCTTATCAACTCCTAACCATGCAACCCGATAAGAAACATCTATACCATATTGCTTCTTCAACTTTTTTTTAACTTCAATAGGACGAGTCAACGGATTATCACTAATATCATTTTGCACAATATCAGACACAAGTCTAGAACCAACCATTTTGCTACAAGATCTACGAGCAACAACCCCACAAGTATGCACATTATCCAACTTCATTATAAAAAAAAACACCAGAATCCATCAACACCCTTCCATGCACAAACCATTTACAACCCGTAGACGACTTCATCATACATTCAGCGGTTACTCTTGTTGCATCATTCTTCAAATAATTCACTGCAAAACCACACTGAACCGCATACTTAGCCAATGCAATGCGGAACCCCGACACTCCACCTTCAAATTCTTGACCAACACTATGTATAATCCCCTTCCAACTAGCAGACAACAAAACTCTCTCTGAGCGTGTGTTAGATTATTTGGTATAATTTTTGTTATAATTTATTAGATAAATATAACTTAAATAAGTTTTAAAAAAATTATTTTAGAAGCTAACTAAGGAGATTATCAACTTTTAATTTATAATAAGTTGCACCAAACAGTACCGATCATTAGATAAAAAATGACACTTGATTTTAACAACTTAATCATAAAAATTTAGACAAATTTCACTTTACCTCTATTGTTTGGACCATGTACGGTTTACCGCATAATATTTAGAAATGACCACATAACCCTCTTGTAGTTTGTGGAGTGAAATGCACGTTAGGTCTGTTAACGATTTAATGAAAAATACTAAAATACTCTTATATTTTCGTTATTTGTTTGGAAGACAAAGTGTACTTCAACTCTTGTGCTTTATTCCATACGTGATTTAACCCCCATGCTTTATTTCATCAGTGATTTACCCCTTAAAATTTGAAAATGAGTATATAACACCCTTATGTCTATCACGTGTTTCACACATGCTATTAAGTTGAACGGAATGTTTAACGGTACACTTCAATCTACAAACCATGTAGGGTTATGTAATTATTTTCAAACATTAAGGGATAAATCACACATAACTCAAACCACATGGGATAAAGTGAATTTGTCTTAAAAAAATTTACTATTAACTAAAAATATCGAATGTGTTAAAGATTAAAATTTTTCTCCACAAATTAAATTTAATAAAACTACGTTTTATGAAAGAAATTATTCATTAGAATATTTGACTTCAACTTAAATTTAATTTTCTTAATTTATAAAAAATTTATTTTTTATTAGATTAATTCTAATAATAGATAATAAAAAAAATATTTTTAACTAAAAATAAAAGTTAAACTTATATTAATTTTAAAATTATATTTTACATGCATTTTAATAAGTTAGATGGAGTTACATAAAATATTCGAAAGGGTACATTACAATAAATTCCTTAAACTATAACTCATTTACATTTTGCTCCACTAGATTTCAAAACTTAACAGTTAACCCCTTCAAAATGTTTTCTTATTACAATTAACCTTTTTAGTTAGGATTATATTAAGAATTTACAGAAAATTATAATGTGTGTAAAGCACATAACACAACTATTATATTTTAGGCAATAATGTTATTATCTTATAGTATCACGAGTCTTAAACTTTATTCGTTACTTGTTACTTAATAGTATATTATTTCCAAACTCGATGGTAATGATAGGTTTGTATTTGACTTTCAATTATTATAATTGAGACATCCTTCTAGATGTTTAGAATCTTGATTGATATGCTAGCAAGATGGCTAGGCAAGATTGGACCAAACACTCCAAAATTCGAACATTTGTTTTTAGTAGGCTTCACTCTTTTGTCATTTTTTCTTTATACACTTTGAATCTTAATGTGAGGCTAGAACCATTGAAAATTTTATTTTTGGGATTTCGATTTAGACACAAGAACGACTCAAAACAAAGTTCGAACAAGAGATTTTCGAAGTTCAGGTACCTTGTAGATGCGCCCTTGGGCCTCATGCTACAGTTCAGACTCGATTTATGTCGGTTCTTAATCTGATCTCACAATGTGCAATGTGAGATTGATAAATCACCAAAGAGTCCAAATCTAGCAAATCGTTTTGGAAAATAGATTTTTGTAAAGAAGTGCCAATCGTGAACTGCTTTCCCAGATACAAAGTCGTCACCTAAATATTTTATTTTGGGGGAATTTAGGAAACCCTGACTCGTTTGCCTAAGGCCACGTATCTGTCATCACTAAAGTTGCCTCGGCTCGGGAACTTGGGTACGATTGGAGAATGTCAGCTATGAGCACCCCCTCTCGCTCGATCCGAAGATCGGCCTCTACTAACCATGATATCTAGCTTTGAAAATATTATGCGTTCTTATTCCGGTTATTAGCTTAGATTTACTACGTGATGCGCACAGCAAACAAGTATAGAGTAAGTCGCTTAAATTGGAACAAAACATGTCATGTTTGTTTATTTGAAAATGGTTTGATGGTGCTACCCGCAAGTAGGCTTAAGACATGAATTTTGCCACCCTCAAGTGGGCTTAAAACTTGCATTCAATGCATTGTTCCAATTTAAGTAACCCAACCATCACCCACAGGCATTCAGGCAGTTATAACACGTAAGCATATAGCCTCATGGTAAGCATGTTATCATGGCAACACTCACACTCATGCAAGGA